GTAGAATTCTTCTATTTCATCTTCACTGGCTTTAGTGGTTGGTGCATAAATTTGAATAATAGTGGTATTCACTGGGCTTCCCTGTAGGTGCATGGACATTATCCTATCACTTATAGCATTGTACCTCATGACTGATCCTGGATATGTTCTTTTTGACAATGAACATAACACCATTCCTCTTCAATTTGTTGTTCCCTGCATAGTAAACCATGTGGTTGTCAGATTCAAAATGGCCAATACCAGTCCATTTCAGATCACTAATGCCTAAGATATCGATGTTGATGTGTTCCATTTTATTTTTGACAACTTCCAATTTTCCCAGATTCATACTTCGTGCATTCCATGTTCTGATTTTCAATGGATGTTTACAGCTGTTTCTCTTCATTTTGGATTTGTTGTGGCCCATTAGCAAATGAAGGTTCTGTGAGCATTTCTCTACTTGGAGGAGGCATTTTTTTTCCCCAGTCGCATTCTGAGTACCTTCCCACTTTCCAGTCCTCTATCTGACAATGTTTCTCTGCTATTCATAGAGTTTTCAGTGACCAGCGATTCGGAAGTAGTTTGTCACTCTTTCTTCCTAGTCTGTCTTTGTTTGAAAGCTCATCTGAAACCTGTCCACCATGGGTGACCCTGCTGGTTATTTAAAATACCGGTGGCAGAGCCCTCAGAATCACAGCAATTCAGACCACCACAGCACGACAGACAGATGAGTGGCGGTTGCATGGTTGCTGTTAAATAGGAATCTCCTTGTGCTAGGGCCCTTAAGTCTGGCTCAAAGGCGGGATTTCTGTCCTTGGATGTCAATCAAGAGGCAGAAGCGCAGCAGGGGTGACTGGTTTGTAGTGAGACGCTATGGGCTGGGCTTGTGGGTCTCTAAGTTGGTTGACCCCGCCGCTAAGCCATGATCCAACGGTTAGGCTAGGAAGGCGCTCTCGCGTCCAGGGTAAGTAGGACAGCCTGGCCTGCCTCTGCAATCTCTTCCCGCTAGGTAGCATCTCCCCTTAGACCTGGTCTCCAGACACCTCTCACCCCGCCGCTCCGTGGTCTGGGTTTCATTTAACACCTCCACTAGGTCTGTGCAGTTGTCGCACATCGTTTAACCACCGCCCTCCATGTTGTCAGTAAGTTATATTAATTCCAGGCTCATAGTGACTCTGTATAGGGCTTTCAACGATGGCTGTCTTTGCGGGAGTGGAAAGACTCATCTTTCTCCAGTGTTCATAATGGCTGGTGGGCTCAAACCACCAATTTCAAGTTTATTATATAACTCAGCAATTCTACTCCTAGGTATTTACCCAAGAGAAGTGAAAAGATAATGGCTACTCAAAGACTTATAAATGTGCATAACAGCATTATCCACAGTAGGCAAAATGTGTAAACAGCTGATGGATGGATAGACAAATGTGATATACCCATACAACAGAATACTATTCATCAATAACAAGGAACAAAAGTACTGATGCTTGTTCAGCATGACTGAACCTCAGGAACATTATTATTGTTCAGTGCTGTTGAGTTGGTTCCGACTCATTGTGAGCCTGTGTAGGATTTCCAAGGAGTGGCTGGTGGGGTTGAACTGCTGATCTTGCAGTTAGCAGGCCAGTGCTGATCTCACAGTACCACATCAGGATTCTATTATGCTAAGCAAAAATGTCTGGCTTAAAAGACCACTTACTGTGAGATTCCACTTAATATCAAATACCCAGAAAGGGTAAATCTATAAAAACAGAAAGTAGAGTAGTGATTGCCCAAGGCTAGGGATACAGATGGGGAGTGACTCAAGTTTGCTCACATTTTTTATTGGGTGATAGAAATGTTTTAAAATCAGTTACTAGGTAGTTGCACACCTCTGCAAATGTGGCAAAAACATTGAATTGTGCACTTTTGAAGGGTGAATTTAAATAAAGTTCATTTTAAAAAAAGAATTATAATAAAACAAAAGGGATGAAAGCAATAAGGAATGAACAGAACTAGATTATAGAAAAAGAGTCAGAGTTTATAGATAAATGCACAAGAAGTGAGCAAGACATTTTACAATTGTGTAATTAATGGCTCTTTGTATCTATCTGCAGCAAAAAGAAAATGGAGAGGTGGAGACAATTACATACTAATGTGAAGGAACCGTGATAATTTAGTAGCAGTGTTAGATGGGGATAATGGGATTAAGCTGGTAAAACCATTCAGGATATATAGCAATTGAAATAATTTTAATCATATGAGTTTTTTTTAATTGGAAAAATATTTCTAAATAAAATGGTAGTATTTAGTTTCCTGTGGAGTGCAGTGGCTTCATATGAGAAGAATTGGACTGTGAACTACAAGGTCAGCTGTTCAAGTTCACCAGTCACTCTTACAGAGAAAGATGAGGCTTTCTGCTCCTGCAAAGATTCAAAGCCTCGAAATCCTATACAGGGTTACTATGAGTTGGAACCGACTCAACGACACTTAATAATCACAACAGCTTCCTATAGTGTTGAAATTTCTGTACTCAAAAAGGATAAAAATCAGTACACCCACTCTTCACTTATCAACATAGTTAGGTTTCAGGTTATTGTGCAAAAATTGTCATTATGCAAAATTGGAGGATGACCACATCAGATCACAAAATGGAGGATAACTGCAACATTGCATAACTGCTTAAATATATCATTACATAACTGAACAAATTTCATACCTGCCAAACCACTGAAAATCGTGGCCCACTCAAGTTGACTCGTAACCTTAACCATCACAGCCATTGGTATTCTCACCTTGAACCTTGGCATTCATTACTATCAGAGGTATATCATTAATGTCCAAGATAGATGAGACATTTTACTGTTGTAAATGCAGAATGTCAGATAATGAGATCGTTGCTTACAAATAATGTGTCTGTATCTGAACTGCATGGTCAGCCATTCAAACTTAACAGCTGCTCCTTGGAAACACTATACAGGGTCACTGTGAGTTGGAACTGACTCAGTGGCACTTAACAACAATAGGCTTTGTATTTGCAGACTTTTTGCTCATTTCTGTTTTGTTTAAACAAATACTTTTAAGTAACTCCAAGCCCCATTTTACAAATGGGATAAAGTAGGTTCCTAGCCTTTATTCCTCAATGCCACACATCCATTAATGAAGAAGTGATCTGAACCCAGGTTTTTGACCCCAAATGCTAACCACATCTCATACATCCAGAGATACCCTCAAAGTTGATATTTTAACTTGGCGCAAATTCCTTGTTTACATTAAATTGAATTTATTCTCACATTGTTATTGTTAGTGAAATGAAGTCAATAGAGATGGTTTATTGTAACTTTTTTGTTGCTGTTGTATGCTGCCAAGTTGGTTCCGACTCATAGCATCCAGGATAGGATTTCCAAGAGCAGTTGGTGGATTTGAACTGCTGACCTTGAGGGTAACAGTCTAGTGCTTTTCCTACAGTGCCATACCAGTGCTCAGTTTTAAAATTTTGAGAAGGAAAATAATTTTTTAAACTTCGGTTTTTTATTCTGAAATATTTTAAAGAAATTAAAATACCCTGACAGTCTACTTATAAATACTTCTGTATGTATCTCAAAAAAGTAAGAAAACTTTTTAAATAGCTAAAAATAACTATAAAAATAAAGTTAGTAATAATTCCTAGTACCACCTAGTAATAATAGACTAAGAGTTTAGTCATATTTCTCTGCTTTTCCATGAAGTACCTTTACAACTGGTTGTTGACTCAAAACCTGCTTTAGGGCTGTAGAACTAACTGAAGACTCTCCCCCAGAACTGTTCTTTGTTCTCTTTTCTTTTCATGGCACTGACTTGCTAAAGAGACTAGAATAGTTGTCATGAGGTAAATGTTTCTTAAACTACTTTAGAAGAAAACTTTAAAAAAATATTTTTAGGTCAAAAGTTATAATGCAATTAGATTATAGAATATTTTATTGGTTTATTTGCAAAGTTTAGCATTAGTCTTTGGTGCTGTAATATTGTAGGGGTTTTTTTGTTTTTTGTTTTTTAATCTTAAAAGATTGACTCATTGTTGCTTTGATGAAATTGCTTGTAGAAAGTTCACTGTGTTACAAAAGGAAAGTGAGGTGCGATGTCACAGAGTGCTTTAGATGAGGGGGCTGTGTGGCTCACTCTTCTCCACAGGCGCATCTGATCCCTGAGAGATCTTGAGTGCCTTTGTCCCTGCCCAGAAGTGGTCATTTATCACTCTCATTACAGCAGACCTAGACTGATGGCCCTCCCAACTCCTCACCTTCTCCCTGCCAAAATTATATCAGGGATTCCCATACTGGATCAAAGCTGTTTTCCCTCTTTTGGGAAGAACTGAGTGAGAGTCCCACAGCTGGTGCCTTAGTCCGTATCTCCTCATCATAGATATCTCTGAGTTTTCCTTCCAGCCCATGTCCTCTAAACACATTTTCTCAGCTTCTCTTGTCAGCTTAAAATGTCCTCATGATGAACATTTAGGGCCAGATGGCACTGTGGGTGAGGGGCAGCAGCATGAGCTCCCAGGAAGAGGGTTCTAAGCAGACTAACCCTTGGATCTTCTCAAACCATTGCCTTCAAGAGGTCCCCTTGGTATTCCTATGTTATTCTTAATGTATCTGGGGTAAAAAGAGTCTTGTCTTCTCTTAGATCAACCACTCTGGAAAAAGAAGTTCCAGTCATCTTCATCCACCCTTTAAATACTGGCTTATTTCGGATAAAAATTCAAGGAGCCACTGGAAAATTTAACGTGGTCATCCCTCTTGTGGATGGGATGATAGTCAGCAGACGAGCACTGGGTAAGGTCGTCTGTGAAGCTGAAGGGTTAAACTTATTTCACAGTTTTATAAACTAAAAGAAGGGAAAATAAGGAAATGGTGTTAGTAGATTGCATGTGTAGAAAATATGTGGCTTTGTTATAAAGGAACTTGCTTCATTCTGTCTTCAAATGACATGACATAGGTGAGTGAAGCTGGATTGACTTCTAGTAATGGACTTGAAAATTAGTGTGGAATTGAGGGTGGGAAATGAGTTGTCAGACCAAAGTCTGATATGGTGTTTCCTTGACATTCTGTGTTCCTTTTGACATTTTTATCTTGTTAGTACTGTGCCTCTCTCTCTCTCTGAAGACTGGAAGTTTTTCAAATAGAAAAATACCTTGAGTATGCAAAGAGTAGTTTGTGTGAATAATGGTAATTCACATAGCTCACTGGCTTTTAACATTTAACATCCTCTGTTTTTTAAGGGTTCCTGGTAAGACAGACTGTAATTAATATTTGTAGAAGAAAGAGATTGGAGAGTGATTCCTACAGTCCACCACATGTGCGCCGGAAACAGAAAATCGCCGACATTGTCAACAAGTACCGGAACAAGCAGTTGGAGCCAGAGTTTTATACTTCACTTTTCCAGGAGGTTGGACTAAAGAACTGTGGTTCTTAGACCACTGTTTGAAGACTATTTCACTCCAATTCGGGAGCTATAATATCAAAGCAAAAGTACTTGACAGGTGATCACTGTAAAAATAAAAACAAATCACTCTCTAAGAGCTTACTGTTTAATCACCAGAATAGAAGAAACACATTATCAACCCATCTGATAGAAGACCTTCAGCTTTCTAGTGAAATGGGCTCCCAGGCACAATCGTATTCTTGCTGGTAATGATATACATGTTAGCCATAAAATTTCTTTTAAAAGGGACATTTTTTTGTTGCTAAATGTAAGCCTTTTCAGGAGAAAGGCTTTTATGCATCTCAGTAAAATGTGTATTAGTAGTATTAACAAATTTGCAATTTAGAAGTTGAGGATAGTTTTATACCTCACTTTTTAGGAAGTTGTGTTCAAAATTAAAATCTGTCTAGAATCTTCCAGGACACTTAAAACCTCAACAGATAATGATTGCATGAAGAAGAAGGAAAGAAATCTCAAACTTCTGCCCACTTACAGGCCCATTTTTATCCAACTATCAAACTGACAGAAAAGAAAATAAATGGTTTTTGCTCCGATAAGAAGTCTGACATTAAAATATTTTATATTTTCTTGCCACATTTCAAAAAGTTGCCTATCTCATCACTGCACAGAGGATCTGTCTGAAAGCCTCAATTTCTGGGCAACCCAGGAACAGATGTAAAATGAAATATAGTGAGCCTGTACTTTGATGAGGACACAGAGAAACCTCTAGAGTTAAAAGTTAGAAGACAACAGTGATAGCTACACTCTCCATTATGGGCCAGCTTGGTGGCATAATGACAGGTTAAACATGTAATCCCTTGGTTAAATATCAAGATGTGTAAATTCACAACAAGGACTGAAAACTATTTGGTTTCATGTATTCTTATTTCAGGACCAAGTAGGAAACTGCAATCGTTTATGAAGGATTCTAATTTGGGGTTTAGGAACCAGCTTCTTGGCACTAGTAATCCAGATCTCTCTTGGAGAGCTGCTGGATTTCATCTTCATCGACAAGCATTGGTGACCACCTCACTGCACGGTGGCTGCTGTTAGAAATGGCTGACATTGTCACGTTTTTCTGGACTTTGCCAGCTGATGGCATAACAAACCCCTGCCAGGGTTTTGGAATTACTTCTGTTACCTCGCTGCTACTTTTCTGCCAGGGATAAACGTTGTGAAGTAGCCAGACCCAGAACACCTTACAAGGATGCCTGCCACAGTTCTAGAGTACACACTGCTCATCCCTCTGATTCTTACCTGCTTCCCTCTGCCGTAGTTCAGATGGTTTTGTATTAAGAAAATAAGTGACATTGAATTCCAAAGAGGAGTGATCACAGGCAGATAAAGGGGTTTCCCACTTGAACTCTGACATCAATAGGTTATATAGGTCAGACCTACTGTGGTCTTACATGGTTATTTCTTTTGCTTTGATGTATTTGTAGTTTAACTGGGGAGATGGGAATAACAGTGTAGAACCTAGCTCCCTGTGCGATTTTTTCTATTTCAGAAGTATGTATTTTGCCATCTATGAGCAAGAGATATGGGTATAGCAGCTCTTGGTTTTATGTTTGCCATGCCCTTGTTTTCATGTTTGTTTTAAGCTCAGGTAAAGATAACTTCCTCCTTCTATGACTCCAGCTTCCATTCAGGGTATAATGTTATTATTCAATAATTGACTTCTTTTTTAAGCTGGGCAATAAATCGCTGTCCCCAGATGATAGCATAGGGAGGGGTGTGTGTAATGAAGATAAGCAAGTTCTTACCCTAAAATGTCTCAGTAGTTCAGCAGGTGTAAGGTGGGGTTTGGTAACTTTGAAGGCAATTCCAGATTGAGCATTTCAAGGTCAGTGGAAAACTGGGCCCTTGTTCTATTGAAGCGGCAAAGAAGGCTGTAAATAGATGTGCAACTTAGAACATTCCAGAGATTTAAAAGAACTGGTTCAGGTGCACTTCCTCAGTGTGATTCTTCAGACAAACCTCTTATATGCGGCATAGTGCCAGCACTAGAAAATGGACCGTCTGCTGTGTAGGAAGCAGGTGTGCTGATCCTTTGTTAGCTCCATTTGCTGGCAACTTTTTGTCATTCTAATGGCTTGGTGTTGAGTGCGTTTTGTGATCTGGAAGACTGGCCTCCTGGAGGAGGGATGGGTTCCATAGTGAGCAGCTCCAAAGGCATGAGACCCCCAGTGGGAGCAGCAGGAACAGAATGTGGACTTTGTGCATCCCTTGTCAGTTGCAGCCTGCTTCTCAAAATTGCATCTACCAAAAAAGGCCCCACTTGGATCTTCCATTAGCATGCGTTTGTGTTTGTGGTCACTAAGTTCAACCAACTGCCTTTTTAAAGAACCCCTTTGAGTAGAACAGTGCCAGAAGAACATAGTTTGTTCTTAATAATAATCTCTAGTAGTCCATCTGATACATTGGCTGGCATGGGTTCATAACCTTTGCAGGTAAAGGTTTGGTCTTGGGTCTGTGGTGTAAACAGTTGAACTGCTCCTTTGTCTGCACCAGTGGGTGTGTGAAGTAGCTTTCTGCGAAGAGACAGGTATAGGTGGCCCCTCAGACCCCCTTCTCTCTGGTTAGGAGCACTGAGGACAGTGAGAAGGATTCTGGCCTCTTTAACCCTTTTCTTGTTTAGCCAACTTCCCCATTTGTTAAGTGATTCCTCCATGGACCGCCCCCCCTCCTGCCTATTGGCTCTTGAAAGGAATAGTAATGTGATGGGTTGATCTGCCCCTCCCTTGCCCACCACCACACACACACCATACCTGCGCACATCCTGTCCTCCACTTGGAGATCCTCTGCCAGGACAGTCTGTTCTCTGCTCTCATTTATCAATACATGCTAGCTCCACCTCCTAGTGGCCAGTAATGCCAGTTACATGTGGGCTTTGTGTGGTAGTTGCTTTTATTAGCACCAGGGCAGCAATTGTGGACTCCGCAGAACCGATCTCTGGAGAGACAGAGGCTTCACGAGTATTAATGTCTATTGAAGGTTGGCAGCTTGCAGTGGAAGCCTTGCTCAAAGACGTGCTCATATTTTGTGGTTGATGGTGAAAAATGTGTAGGAGGAAATTTGGAGTTCTTCCTGCATTCGTCCACTCAGCATCATAAAGCCCCCTTCAGGTTCTATCTTCCTATAAAGAACTGATTATTACATGAAATGACAGATCGAGTTAGGTAGTTTTAAAGATTTGCATCACAGCCTCTTTTCCTGACCTGGAGAGATGGGAAGCAATCCATTCATACAATGTGGAATCGGACTGAGTTTCTCAGTAGCTACAAAAGCCATGTACTGTATAGTGTTTTTTCTTAGAATATCAACTCATGTTCTTCAGATGCTTTTCTTTTTTAATGGTGAGGGAAAAGGTATAATTTGGGATTCCACAGTGCCTTGCACATAGTAGGCGCCCAATAAATATTTGTTAAAAACAAACCAAGTTTCCCAAGTCCTTGTCTCTTACAGTGGCCAAGAACATCTTTCTCCTCTGAAGGGCTTGGCAGTTGTGGCTTAAAAAAAATAAGCAGTATCATTATTTGCTTGAAATCATATATAACAATTTGTATGAATTTCAGTACGTTGCCAAGACATAATCTTTTTCTTATTGTATTTTCTGTAAATATTTCTGGCACTGAACTGTAAAGTAAGACGGAATGTAAATATGAAGGTCTCCCCCTGCCCCCTTGCCTCCTGTGTTCTATCTTCATCATTAGGGAAGAAGGGCCAGAGGCTCGTTTGTATTTATGCCAATTCTTGTCCAGAAGAAACCCATGGAATATTGAATGTAATACATTTAGTCAATTAAATTTCAAGGAGATTCTTATCTAACAACCTTGTGTGTGCCTTTGGTGACAGACTGGGTTTGACTCCCATGTGGGTGTTCTTTCTGGTGGAAGTATGGGGGCTGCTGTGCTTTGGCCACCTTTTGAAATTTAAATCTGTAGGGTTTTGTAAAGTCTTAAGAGGCCTAAGTAAACAGAGCCATTGAAAACCCTATGGAACAGCACAGTTCTACTCTGACACACACACACACACACACACACACACACACACACACACACACGCCTTCCAGGAGTCAGAGTGACTTAACAGCTGTAATAGTAGGGATCCCGCAATGGTGCAGATGGTTTAGCACTCAACTAGTAATTGAAAGGTGGGCGGTTTGAACCCACCCAGAGGTGCCTCAGAAGAAAGGCTTGGTGATCTGCCTCCAGAAAGGTAACAGCCTTGGATACTTGTTGTTGTTGTTGTTGAGTGCCGTCGGGTCGATTAGACCACCATTTTAAAATTGGGAAGGCTCATGTAAAAGTTGAGCTGTATTGACTCTTGGAAACATCGATGGTCTGCCCATGCTGGGCCTGCATCTCCCACCTAGTGGTTACTGATAGAACTGAGCACAGCTGTTTGCTGTCCAGCATGTGGCTCCTGTGGTCAGCCTGGAGACTGGACAGCTGCAGCCCCAGGTATATGAACACTCACCCGGGGATCATTTTTACCTTATTTCATTTTCTAACATTTAGCAGCTTGGTGAGGTAAGAATTCTTTTCATCTCACAAGAAAGGATCAGAAAGGTGTCCCTCGAACTCAGTAGCAGCTTAGCTGGGATCCACATCAAGGCCTGCCTGCCTGTGAACCTGAACTAAACTCCCACTGCCTGTCTTAACCATTCATACAAAACAACGTCCCTTCAGGTTGCCCCTGCAGGCTTGCCTAAAGGATACCAGCTTCCTTGTTGCATCACCCACTGAGTCACAATGGGCTGAAGACAAGAGTGCCCCCAGAGGCAGCCATGCCAGTCTAGTCCAGGCTGGCCACATCAGTCACATGCACCATGAAGTACCCTCTGGTGCCGCTGGTGAATGATCTCACATTTTCTTTCCTGGTGTTCTGGCTCTGTCTGCCTGTGGGCTTGCTGCTATTGTTCATCGTCTGGTTATGCTTCTTGCTTAGCCAAGGTGAGCTGCCCAGATTGGGTCCAAGTTCTAGAGCTGGGCAGGTAGCGGTCCAAATAGGCCAGGGTCTCCTGGAACTACCAGGAAGAAGGGTTTTTGTTCAGGTACGTTGACTCCTACCTTAGATAAAAGCAGTCAGTTGGAAGAGAAAAGAATTCATTTGTTAGACTTTGTTCACCTGGGTTCCAAGGTTGAGTCTTAGGGGTCCACGAACTCCAGAGTTTGACTACAAAGGAACACTTATGTCTGCACTTCCACGGAAGTGATCCATTGCATCTGTCAGGATCGCCACTAGCACATGTCTTTGGTACAAATTAGAAAGAGGTGGTCTTACTGGGTTGATGAGTGGGAGAAAGCTGCCACTTCCTGTGAGTGCAGCCAGGGAAACAGTCTTAGGTCCACTTTCGTGCAGCTGGTGCTTTTGAGCAGTGAGCAGTTTGTGCAGGGACATGCAGCAACCTTCACCATGGCCAGGGACCCAGAGTCCATTCACTGTTTCTGCTTAGACGGTACTTCAGGAAGGATCTGGGCTTCTCTGGACACAGCATCGTGGAAGCTGCTGACGTTCATGCCTCCTGAGCCCAGACTGCCTCCGTGGGAGCAAGAGGCTGGGTGAAGTTGGCCGTGAAGGAAGCTGGGGCATGGGTATCTGGGATGGGGCCTGGCCCCATGGGCCTCTTCCTGACCTCCCACCTCCCGCTGCTCAGCTTCAAGGTCTTTGGCCTGCTGAGCAGGGAGGTTGTTGAGCATGCTGCCAGCCCCTGGGCAGGTGGTTTCAGACTGGCTGAGCAGTTTGCCTCTTCTTAGCTGCCCAGGATCTCAAATGTCAGAGCCAGTAATTGTGTAATTTCTCAGAGTACCCGTCAAGAGCCTAGGAAACTTGCTGCCAGAAAATGTTATTAAAAGTGTTCTTGGATTTCTGTGGTGTGGACCCCAATGCTCTCTGAGGGACAAAACTTTAGTCTGGTGACTTGGTGGGTGCTGGAGGTTGTGTGTATTGGCTATACATACCGTCTCTTGGTGTCTAGGAGACTTGAGTTTTAATATCATCCCTGCTCCTTAATAGTTAATAATGTCATGGCATCTGGATGAATCCTTAAAACTGTTTCCCTGAGATCATCTTTAAATCTTATACTAAAAATATTCTGAAGTCTTCTTAAAACTAAACAATATTTAAGCATACTGGTTATGAATCAGGCTACTAACTTCAAGGTCACCAGTTCAAAACTACCAGCTGTTCCTCAGGAGAAAGATGAGGCTTTCTGCTCCCGTAAAAGATTTACAGCCTCGGAAACCCTATGCAAGGTCGCTATGAGTCAGAACCGACTCCACGGCACATAACCGCCACCACCACCACCACCAGTCAAGAATGTCTGCCTAGAACATGGTGCTCTTTTAAGGTCAATCTGGGATCAAACTGACAACAGCTCAGAAGATAAGATTGGGAACTTGGGGGTAGTGAGTTTATGTTAGTGGGGGAGGAACAACTTGGAGAAGGAGGATAAGAATGGTAGTTCAACTCAGTGTTGTCACTGAACTGACATAAGAAACTTGAATTGCTGTACTGTGTATATTCTCAACAAAAATATAAAAAGATATATATACATATGTTGCTGTTAGGTGCTGTTGAGTTGGTTCCAACTCACGGTGATCTGTATAGGGTTTCTAAGGCTGTAAATCTTCACAGGAGCAGCAAACATCTTTCTCCCACAGCAGCTGGTAGGCTCGAACTATAGACCTTGTGTTTATTGTATGGATCCATGGCGCTCCATATGTGCATGTATGTAATTGTTGTTAAGTGCCGTCAAGTCAGTTCTGACCTATAGCAACCCTGTATAGAGTTTCTAAAGAGCAGCTGGTGAACTTGAACTGCCAACCTTTCATTTCAAACTACTTTGCAGTCTGGCGCATTAGCCCAGAGCGCCACATCGGGACTCCATATATGTACTTAGTGTTCCTGTATTGGGTTTCTGAGGAGCAGCTAGTGGGCTTGAACCGATGACCTAGTGTTTCACATAGTCCAGTACTTATCCAACAGCGCTATACCAGGAGTCATGTGTCTGTGCTGTTGTTGTTGTTAAGTACTGTTGAGTTGGTTCTGACTTGTAGTGACCTCGTATAGGGTTTCCAAGGAGCAGCTGATAGGTTTGAACTGCTGACCTTGTGGTTCGCAGGCCAGTGTTGATTCTAAGCGCCACACCAGGAGTTCATATTAAGTCAATTCTGACTCATAGCAACCTTATAGATATATTTTTTGAGCTGATGTGTTTGAACACTGACTGTGTACATGCACCAGGCCCTATGTTAAACACTTTACAGGCATTATTTCATGTCCTCAAAGTGACCTTGTGAGGTAATAACCTCTTCTAATTGAAGAAACTGAGGCTCAGAGAGGAGATGCTATCTGTCCAAAGTCACACATTGTGAAGTGCTTTAGAGTGCCAGTTGTCTGGTCTTTGAGCTTCACCTTCCCATGAACAGAATGAATGAAGATAATAATACCAACTCTGTGGGCTTTGTTGTTGCTAAGTGCCGTTAAGTCAGTTCTGACTCATAGTGACCCTGTCTAGGGTTTCCGAGGAGCAGCTGGTGGGTTTGAACCACCAACCTCACAGTCCTGATGCTACAGTGCCACCCCAGGGCTCCATCCTGTGGGATAGTGAAGCCTTGCGTGAATCAATGCATGTCAGGGCCTTATGGGCTGAGCACCTTGTTGTTGAGTGCCGTTGAGTCAGTTCTGACCCATAGCGACCCTGTACAGGGTTTCCGAGGGTGTAAATCTTTACGGGAGTAGAAAGCCTCATCTTTCTCCCGCGGAGTGGCTGGTAGTTTCGAACCGCTGACCTTAAGGTTCACAGCCCGATTCGTAACCACTAGAGGTGCTTTAAGAGGAGAAAATAGTCCAGTGTGGACTTTGTCACCATGAGGAAGCATGGGAATGGCTTTGCATAGATTGTCTAGAGCAGGGCACCTCAGCCACCACCCAGTGCAGCCTTAAGGCACCTGTACCTCCAGCGAGTCCTTGGAGGCCCTGCTCCAAGCCAGCCACACCTTACCCACACTAGCCCATTCTCAGACTTTCTCCTGAAAGCTGTTAACCCACTGACATCTCATGACATTTTTATTAAGTCCTTTTCTTAATTTTGCAACAAAGTGAGAGTCTGCCAGGACCCTGTCTTGGAACTCTCAGGATTTCTGTGTCCTGCCCTGGTACCAGGGCCTAGTTGCTGAGGGCTCAGGACAGCCAGGCTTTTCTGCCTTGGGTCCCTTTACTGGAATCCAGTACGAACAGAGACAGAAGTAGCTCTGATGCCTCTGTCCAGTGTAGAGGCTCCCTCGTTATTGTGCTTTCTTTTTCTGTGTTTTGCAGTGATAACTGCATTTTACAAATTGAGCAAGCCTGGTCCTGGTGTGGCTCTGTGGCTTAATGTGCTGGACTTGCAAGTTTGGAGGTTCAAGCTCATCAGTTTCTCCTCGGAAACCCTTTATAGGGTCGCTATGAGTCGGAACCAACTCGACAGCACTTGACAACCAACAGCATTGGCACCAACAGCGTGCACTCACTCCTTGTCTCTGTCACATTTTGGTCATTGTCACCGTATTTCAAACTTTTTCATCATGTTACTACACAATTCATTAACGATGACTACAATATAGCATAAACACACGTGTATATGCACTGGGAAACCCAAAAATTGTGTGACTTGCTTTAATCTGGTACTTGGCTTTATTGCAGTGGTCTGGGACCAAACTGACAGTTTCTCCAAGTTAATGCCTGTTTCCCAGGGCTGCCACAACAGACTACCACAGTACTGAATGATCTTAAACAGTTTTTTCTCACAGTTCTGAAAGCTAGATATTCAAAAGCAGGGTCATACTCTCTCTGAAGGCTCTAGGGAGAGTTGGTTCATACCTTTCTTTCAGCTTCTGGTGTTGCAGACAATCGTTGAGTTTCCTTGGCCCTGTAGACACGCCATTCCAATCTCTGCCTTATGTCGTTCTCCCTTTGATCTCTGTTTTAATCAGGACAGACCCCAGTCATAATGGACTAGGGACCAGTAACGACTTCATCAAGGAGCTCAGGTCCTTAAGGAGAAAGTCTGTGTTACTCATTGGGCTGCTAACAGCAAGGTCAGCAGTTTAATCCTGCCAGCCACTCCGAGGGAGAAAGATGAGTTCCTTGTAGAGATTTACAGCCTTGGAAACCTAGGCATCAGTTCTCCTCTGTCCCGTAGGGGTCATTGTGTGTCAGAATTGACTTAGTGGTAGTGGATAGGGTCCCTACTAGTAGGTGGACTTTGCTGCTTTTTGAGTCATAAGACAACCTTTCTTGGCCCCTGGTTGCCATTTAAGGTTTTGAAGGCTCTCTGAGGTCAAGGGTCTAGCCTATATGTCATGACTTGGCCTTAGGACACTGACCAAGAGAAGGATGCAGGGATGCCTGGCCCTTGGAAGGGGGGTCCCTTTTGGGACAGAAGTAGGAAACAATATATGACCACCCAAGATGCCTTGTCTCATACCTTCACAGATTCAGAAGAAAATGACTCCAGTTTATGCTTCGATTGGGAGCCATGGAGCAAAGGGCCAGCTGAGTTTAGCTGGGAGGGGACACTCTATAGCCGAGAAGAGGAGAGGTCCCTCTGGTGAGCCCGTGCTGCCAGGTGAAGCCCTTCTGTGAGTAGATGACTTGGAAGGGAAACCCTTAGAGAGTGCCCAAAGCCTTGGGGGGGCTGCCATGTTGAAAAGTGGAATGCTTCCATCATGTTGGAAGTCGGCTCTCTTTCAAACTGTAGAACTGGTACCCTCCATGTTGGAGAGCTTGCTTCCTATACCATGTTGGAGGATCAGTCAACTTCTACCATGAGGAATTTCCCCCAACTCTCAGGCTTTAACCTCTATGACCTCATTTTCCAGCACTCATGCAGTACTCACTGGCTCCTGCCTCCCTCCTTAGTATCTGTGCACTGACTTTCCTTCTGCCTGGAAGTTCTCTCCCAGACATCCACATGGCAGATCTCTCACCTCCAAGTTGTTACTCAAATGTCACCCCTCAACTACCCTATTTAGTGTTGCAGTCTCTCCACACCTCTACTCATAAGCCCCCTTTACTCTGGCTCTTCTTTATATAACATTTATCACTACCTAAGATGCTAGTCCTGGTGTGGTGCTGTGCCAGACTGCAAAACCGTTTGAACTGCAAGATCGGAGGTTCAAGCTCACCAGCTGCTTCTCGGAAACCCTATACAGGATCACTATAGGTCAGATTTGAGTTGACGGCACTTAACAACAACAACAAGATGCTAGATAATATATTGCTCACAGATGTATTCAAAATGCCCAAAGCATTACCTGACACTGGGCTCAATACATATTTGTGGAAGAAATTATATAATAATATCCATCATTATTGTTTTTGTTGTTAAGTTGGTTCTGACTCATAGCAACCCTATATAGGGTTTCCAAGAAGCAACCGGTGAGTTTTAACTGCTAACCTTGAGGTTAGTAGTCAAGTGCTTATCCTACAGCATCCATATGTTTGCGCACTCAGAGCTTTGTGCCAAGGACCAGCTGTGTTGGTGTGTGAACTGGGCACCCTCACTAGTGCCCATGCTCAGAAGGACCTACTTATGGTTTCATATTATTATTGGTTTCATATTCTGTTGTTGCTGTCTTGAAATCTTAATTTTTAACAAGGGGCCCCCATGCATATCTTTTGCAATGGGTCCCACCAATAATGGAGTCATTTCTATCTGGGCACAATTAGTGTGCAGAGGAAAGGAAATTTTCAGCCTGCTCCAGAACCTTGTGCCATTTGTAGGGTCCTCCCCATCCCCATCAGTTATCTCTTATTCGTTCATCTCAATGCCATCCTTAGGTTCAACCTCCCAATTTGTTTCTAGCTCCATTTTCCTAGAGTCAGCTGGGCCATGTGAATGGCCAAAGTGGACAAGAGGGACCGACGACCCAGGATGGTAGACACTGTTGGAGAGTGAGGTGCTTCTCTGGTACCCCCCAATCTCCCCTCTAGATGGACACATAAAAACCCCAGAAGAACCAGCTATTTTCCATCATCACAGATGACCCACCAGCCTTTCCAGGAAGGAGGAGACCAAGTCATGAAGACAATATTAGCAGCCCACATGGAGAGAAGATAGCCAATGGAATTCAGAAGAGGTCCCAAGACTGGGTTTGGCCACAGGGTGTGGGCTCTCGATTAAAGAAACAAAGGTGTTGCTATACTCAGAAGACCCCTAATAAAACTACCAGACCTGACCCAAGTCCATTTATTCAATAAACTCTGGGGCCTAGGCCCAGCCTGAGTGGTTCCTGATCGTCCCCTGAAAGTCTCCAACCTCTCTTCTTACCTGTTCAAAGGTTAAGGGGTGGAAAGCAAGTTGTACTGAACTTCCTATAAAGAGACTTCTTGTTAAGTACTGTCGAATCAGTTCTGACTCACAGCGATCCTGTACAGAGTTCAGAGACTGTGCATCTTTGCAGGAAGCAGAAAGCCTCATCTTTCTCCCATGGAACAGCTGGTAATTTTGAACTACTGACCTTGCAGTTTGCAGCCCGATTCTTAACCACTACACTACCAGAGCTCTTTGCCAATTTGGATGCCTTTAATTCCCCTATCTTGCCTTAAAGCTCTGGCTAAGAATTTCAACACAATATTAAATAGGAGTGGTGATAAAGAGCATCCTTGTCTGGTTCCTGTTTGCAAAGGGAAGACTTTCAATTTCTCTCCATTGAGACTGATGTTGGCTGTTGGTTTTGTATATTTGCTCTTATGATGTTGAGGAATTTCCCTTCAATTCTTACTTCGTTGAGTGTTTTTATCAGGAATGGATTGTAGATTTTATCAAATACCTTTTCTGCATCAATTGATATGATCATGTGGTTCTTTCCTTTTTCTTACTTATATGGTGGATTACATTGATTGTTTTTCTAATGTTGAACCATCTTTGCATCCCTGATAGGAACCCCACTTGGTCATGATGTATGATTTTTTTGATGTGTTCTTGAATTCTGTTGGCTAGGATTTTGTTGAGAATTTTTGCATCTATGTTCATGTGGGATATTGGTCTATAATTTTCTTTCTTAGTGATGTCTTTCCCTGGTTTGGGTATGAGGGTTACACTTGCTTCATAAAATGTATTAGGAAGTTTTCCATCCTTTTCTACATTCTGGATTAATTTGAGTAGAAGTGGTGACAGCTCTTCCCTGAATGGTTGGTAAAACTCACCAGTGAAACCATGTGGACCTGGACTTTTTTTGGTTGGAAGTTTTTTGATGACTTTATCAATTTCTTATTTTGTTATGTTGTTGTTGTTGTTAAGTGCCATCGAGTCAGTTCTGACTCATTGCGACCCTGTACAGGGTTTCCAAGGCACAGCTGGTGAAGTTGAGCCACCAACCTTGTGGGTCCCAGTCCAGTGCGAATCCTATAGTGCTACACCAGGTCTGTTCAAGTTTTTTTACTTCACTCTGTGTAAGTTTAGAAGTTGTTAAGTGCTGTTGAGTTGGTTCTGACCCATAGTGACCCTGTGAAGGGTTTCCAAGGAGCAGCTGGTGAGCTTGAACCACCGACCTTGCAGTTCAAGGCTCTGCAGTCTGGCTTATTAACGCACAGTGCCACACCAAGACTCCAAGTTTAGGTAGGTCTTGTTTTTCTAAAAATATATCCATCTCATCTAGATTTTCAAATTTATTGGAGTACAACGCTTCATAGTATTCTGTTGTTCTCCCTTCCCCCCCCCCCCCATTGGTTCTGTTGTGACATCACCCATGTGGTTTCTTATGCATGTTATTTATGTCTTCTCTTTTCTTTTGTTAGGTTTGCCAATGGTTTGTCAATTTTAGCAAACCTTTCAAACAACCAACTTTTTGTCCTGTTGATTCTTTCTATAGTTTTTCTGTTTTCTATCTCATTTACTCTGCTCTAATCTTTAATCTTTCCTTCTGGTAACTGTAGGTTTACTTTATTGGTCTGTTTCTAATTGTTGGAGATGTGTTAATGTGTTGATTTTGGTTCTTTCTTCTTTTTGGATTTATGCATTTATTGCAATAAATTGTCCTCCCAGTACTGCTTTTGCTGTGGCCTAAAGATTTTGGTATATTTTGTTTTCACTCACATTTGTTTCTAGGAATTTTGTAAATTCACCTTTTTAAAATTTGTTCTACTACCCAGTAGCTTTTCAAAAAAATGTTTTATTGTGAATTATGTGATAGTTTACAAGGGAGAACATTTGCTTTACATTCATCCTATTGTATATTGTTTCATTGCCATGGTTACAATCCCCTCCATGCATCATCAACCAACCAAAGGGGATACACCCTGCAAGCCTGCCCCCTGGTCTATAGCACATAGCCCCTCTCCTTCTCTGGGTCTAAAGTCCCCAGCTGCTCCATCTCTCCACATCATCGTTTCTGCCTCCATCTCTGGCGTCACTATTTCTCTGGGTAGGGTCCCACACTCCACTCTTCTCTTGATGGTCCCAGGGACCTCCAATCCCGGACTTGAAAGTCAACCACTCCCCTTCTTTTGCTACAAAATGTCCATCTTTACTTTACACTTCCAGTCCTCACAGTCAGTCCTAATAGCAATTATTCACTATATTGTGCCACATGAGTACTAACCCCATCTCCTTTCATCTGTACCCAGTAGCTTTTAAGCAAGGTGTTATTACGTTTCCATGTATTTGAATTTATTTCCTTGGTCTTCCGATTGTTGATTTCTATTTTTACAGCATTGTGATCTGAGAAGATGCTTTGTATTATTTTGCTTTTTTTTTTTAAGGTTTTTACTGTCGAATGAGTGAAAGTTTACAGGGCAGATCATCAGTTTTACATTCAACAAATTACACATCTTGTTTCATTACAATGATTATAATCCCCTCCATGTACCATCAGTTAACAATATTTCTCTCTATTCACTTTAGCTCTTTTCCACCTCCAAAGGGCATGCTCTGCAAGTTGGCCTCCTGGCCACCTGCTCTTAGTCCCACTCTTCCCATGAATCTAGAGTCCTCAGCCACTCCCCCTCTCCATGACCCCATCTCTGCCTCCATCTCTAACATTGCAGCTTCTCTGGATAAGGTACCACATTCTGTTTCTGGACTGTAAGATTAACCACTCCCCTGTTTTTTTTTACAAAACTTTAACCTTTACAATTGTGACAGTCGCAATTAGTCATGATAACTATTATTCACTATTGAATATTTAATTTTATCCCCATCTCTTTTCACCAGACCCTTCTAGACAAGATGAAATCTATTCAGTGGGGACCCTTTCTCCCCCCACCCCCACTCTTAAACTAAACTCCCTATTGAAACCTTGTAAGCCAGTCACTTCGTGCCTTTATTGCCCCCTCATTTTAGATAGCCAATGTCTAAGTTGCCCACCCCTATCTACCCTGTGTATAGATGGCATAGCATTGATACTTGATGTGAAGACTCCTTTCCTCTCTGTTGGTATTTAGAGTTACTACCTCCATGAATATAGGTCAGTTTCATCAAATTGTAGCAATTTACCCTTGTTTCGCTTATCCAAAAACAAATTTTTGTTGTTGTTGTAATTTCCTCTAGTCAAGTTCTGATTATCAAGCTATTGAGGATAGGTAAATGAGTACTGTCTGCAAGTTTGGGTGT